CTTTTTCAATTATATTTATGATGGTTGTATTTGCTTTGGTCACTATTATACTCGTTGTTATGATACTATACATGAAGTCCGCCACCCCTGGACGTTTCCGCCATCCTTGGTTTGGGGGTGTGATAGTGATCGACGACAACACAAGTGGGACTCCAAAAAAAAAACTTTATATCCTCCTCTGTAGAATTTGATAATAAGATAGATGGAATGGAACGTATTTTTCTCATTATCACCAAGCCAATAAAACAGTTCTTTAAATACCATCCAGGAAGGCATAACTGAACAATCCTTAATCAAAGGAAATCATAAAAGATAAATATCATAAAAGATAAATATGAAAACCCGATAAATAGGATAATGACTATATGCTAAGAAATATTCGTTCCAATATTCCCCCTCAAGTTGGAGCGTGTAAATCTTGCATGCCCAACTTGACAAGTAAGTTTCGAAGGTGTTGAGCTCCCAATGGCTTGGTAAGAAGATCGGCTATTTGACCCGTGGTATTGATGTGCATAGGACCTATTTCATCCGACTCAACTCGCTCTCAGACGAAATAACAATCCATTTCTACATGCTTCGTTCTTTCATGAAAAACCGGATTGTTGGCAATATATTTGGCAGCTAAGTTGTCATAAAATAGAGTAGTACCCTCCGTAGGTGCTTCACAAAGTTCCTTTAACAATGATCGAACCCACAATACTTCGCTGACTGTGCTAGCCATTGCCCTATATTCTGCTTCAGCCGATGAACGGGAAACAACCCATTGTTTCTTCGACTTCCAAGATATGGGAGCACCACCGAGGAGGAGTAAATACTCGGTGCGACAACGTCTTGAAAAGGGACATCCGAGCCAATCGGCATCACAGTAAGAGACTAGTTTCAGGCCTCCTTGGCAGGGTATCAAAATACCTTGACCCGGGGTGGCTTTTAGATATCTTAAGACACGAGTAACCACGTTCATATGATTTTGTCTAGGGTCGGAGACAAATTAACTTAACACGTTAACAGAGTAAGTAATATCCGGGCGTGTGGCTTGCAAATATAACAATCGCCCAACCAGGCGCCTGTATTTACCAACATCAACCTTTTCTTCTTCTTCATTCTTATCGAGTTTTAGATTTTGTTCCATGGGAAACCCACTTGGATGACACCCCTGCAAGCCACTGTCCTCCAAAATGTCCAAAGTATATTTTCGCTGACTAAGGACTAAACCCTCCTTCGTGCGAGCCACTTCGATTCCCAAAAATACTTCAAGGTGCCGAGGTCTTTAATGCTAAATTTGTGGTGGAGTTGAGACTTGGTGTATTGAATCATGTCCATATCGTTGCCAACAATGATCACATCGTCAACATAGATCAAAGCTGCTACAAAAACTGCATTTTTGTTGTATATGAACAACGAATAATCTGCCCTGGATTGAGTGAAACCAAGCTCTAACAGAGGTTGGGTGAACTTATAATACCAATTACGTGACGGTTGTTTGAGGCCGTATAGGGACTTCTTGATGCGACAAACACGTGTATCATTGTCTTTTGAGAACCCTTTTGGAAGCTTCATGTACATTTCTTCATTGAGATCACCATGTAAGAACGCATTGTTGACGTCTAACTGGTGTATAATCCAGTCCTTCTTCACGGCTAAAGTAAGAAGAGTGTGCATCGTTACTAATTTTGCAACAGGCACGAAAGTGTCATGGTAGTCCACTCCTTCCATCTGTGTGAAGCCCTTTGCTACGTGCCTGGCTTTGTAACGTTCGATCTCCCATTTGGTTTATACTTGATCTTGTACACCCATTTAGAATCTATTGCTTTCTTTCCATCAGGTAAAGGTTCCAAGGACCACGTTTGATTTTCTTCAAGTGCCTTGATTTCACGTTTCATGGCATTTCGCCAGTTTTCATTTTGTGATGTCTGAAAGAAAGTTTTAGGCTCATCATGTGACGTGATGGCCGCTAAAAAGCTTTTGTGTTTGTTAGAAAACTTGTCATAAGTCACATAATAAGCAAGGGGATATACCGTGGAGGAAGCTTGATTGGAACTTGGGTGTGCATGATCGACGGACGGTGGGATGTTAACTTCATAATTCTTGAACCGTGAGGGTTGAGTCTTGGTCCGTTGAGAAGTACGGCTTGAATTGTTCGGATGTTGTGGGTCACCATTAGTAGGTGACGGATCGTTATTGGCTTCGTCAGCTCGTGTCTATCTTCTGGTGGGTTATTGGGCTCATTATTTTTCATGGGAGAGTCCATGTCATCGGCCTCTTCAATGGATGTGCTGGGATCGAGTTGTATGAGCTTTTCCTTATGGTGCAAATCACTTTCCATGTCGATTCGAGGCCTGTCAGTTGGTTGAGGCTCACCAACAATTTCATTCTCTACCTGGTTCACATTCTCTTTGTGGTTGGAGAATGGGAAGACGTTTTCCAGAAACTTGACATCACGGCTCACGACTATTTTTCGTTTTTCTAAATCATAGATTTTATAACCCTTTGTGCCGAAAGGGTATCCCAAAAACACCCCTGCCTTTCCTCGTGGGGCAAATTTATCTCCCTTTGTTTCAGTGTTCCAGAAGTAAGTCAGACAGCCCAATACATGCATGTGCTCATAAGGAGGTTCTTTTCCATACATTATCTCGTATGGTGTTTTGTATTTGATTACCTTGGAAGGTAATCTGTTGATGATATAGGTAGCCGTTAAAACACATTCCCCCCAAAAAACTTTTGGGTAACTTCCCTTCAAATCTCAAGGCACGCGCTATTTCCAAGAGGTATCTATGCTTTCTCTCCACAACCCCGTTTTGTTGAGGGGTGTGTGGACAGGTTGTTTCAAGCTCAATGTCGTGATTAGCATAGAAGCTTTTCATGTGATTGGAGGTGAACTCTCCTCCATTGTCACATCTGATTTGTTTAATGTTCTTCTGGAATTGCGTTTGGATGAGATTATAAAAACTGATCAAATAATCACTTGCCTCATATTTTTGCTTGATTATGTAAATCCAAACAGCCCTACTATAATCATCGACTATAGTGAGGAAATAATTTCCATGTGTAAGTGAAAATGTTCTATAACCACCCCAAATATCACAATGAATCATGTCAAAACAATCATTCGTTTTTATTGTACTTGTAGGAAAAGGGAGTCTAGTTAATTGAGCTCTCAGACATGAATCACAAAAAACTTCCTTAAAGTTACTACTAAAATCCTTACATAAAGAAATATGAGATAATTTTTCATTTGATGGGTGACCAAGTCTTTTATGCCATTGATTTGTGGTAGTGACTGCCATAGCTCGTCGGCCTTCTTGCATGATCCCCATTCTGTAGAGTCCACCAATGCACTTACCCATTCCAATCAAGCTCCTCGTCCTCAAGCCCTGTATGATAAAGAAATCCGGAAAAAAAATAATGGCACAATTCAAATTTATTGTTAGTTGGCTGACAGATATAAGGTTGCATTTGAAACTTGGGAATGGTGACTGGCAATTCTCTACCTCCTTTAAAGGTTGTGGCGCAGCTACCAATAATCCCTCCTTTAAAGGTAAGTTCACCGTTTCCTTTGACGGGAATGGTTTCGCCATTGGGAATGGTGACTGGCAATTCTCTACCTCCCGTAGTGAGGTTTTCAAGAGACTCCCGATTGTAAGTCATACATTCGGTTGCCCCCGAGTCAATTATCCAGTCACTTTCATCATTAAATTTACCTGCCATGTTTGCCTTCGGGGTGTTGTTGGGTTTGTCGTTGCTGCTCTTGCCAAGAATCTTTAGAAGCATTTCATATTGTTGGTCGCTCAATCCTGGCATCTTGTCAACGCATGTTTCTGCCAAAGCTGCCTTTGGCTTCACCATCTCCTTTTTTCCTTTCCCTTGCCACCAGTCTGGGTATCCGACAAGCTTGAAGCACCCGTCTCCAACGTGTCCATCTTTGCCACAAAAAGTGCAGTGTCCGGATTTGTTGTTAGAGCTTGTCTTGTCGGTCTTTTGCCAGCCCTTTTTGTGATTTTGATTCTCACGGCTGACTTGCTGCGAGGCTTGGAAGGCAGCGGCATCCGGAGTGGTCGTGATCTTTCTTCCAGCAACAATATTTCGCTGCTGTTCATCTTCCGCTACCAGATGGTAGGCTGTCCCGAGGCTTGGCGTCGGCTTGGTGGCCAGTATTTGGGTCCTCATTACTGAAAATTCGGCATCAAGACCCATTAAAAACTCATAGTCTTTCTTTTTCTTTGAGTTCGGTAATTTTCTTTCCGATATTACACTTGCAACCATCGCATTCACATCGAGGAGTCGGCAAAACGGAGTCTATTTCATCCCATATACCTCTGAGTTTGGTATAGTAGGCTGAAATAGAGGTCCCTTCTTGACGTGTCTGTGTAATGGATTGCTTGAGTTCATATCTTCTTGGAGCACTTTCCTTCCCAAATCTTTTGTGTAAGTCATTCCAGATTTCGAGAGCAGTGTTAGCATACTTCACATTGCTTCGTATCTCCTTGTCTATGGCGGTAGTGAGCCATCCTTTGATCATGGCATCATACCTCATCCACACCATATACTTATCGTTACTTTTGTTGGGTTTAGGGAGGGTGCCATCAACGAAACCAATCTTATTCTTTGCGAACAAAAAATTGGTCATCTCTTGACTCCAATCATTGAAGTTGTTGTCGGTGAGACTCTCGTTTACTTGGAGCTGTTTCGGATAGTCAGAAGGATGCAGGTAGTATTCTGAGTTTGCATCGATCGGTTCTGAATTGGTTTTGAATTTGCCTGAGTCATCGCCTGCCATGACGACGATGGCTGTTTATGGTTTTGATGTTTCCGAAACCCGCTCTGATACCATGTATAATTTGATAATCAGAGAGATGGAATGGAACGTATTTTTCTCATTATCACCAAGCCAATAAAACAGTTCTTTAAATACAATCCAGGAAGGCATAATTGAACAATCCTTAATCAAAGGAAATCATAAAAGATAAATATGAAAAACTGATAAATAGGATAATGACTATCTGCTAAGAAATATCCGTTCCAATATCCTCTCTGTGATCGTTGATCACATTCATCTCGTTCTTCCATTCATTTCTAACTAAAAGACAAATACTATAGATATGATCAATCTTTATTGTAGTAGAATTGTTTGTTATTAGAAGACATAATATTTCACGCATATGTATATATGGAAAAAGTTGATAAAGTTTTCATCATTACATCAGTAAGAGAGTAACATAGTTGGAATGTTTTATTCAAAAAATAAACTCAAATGTCAGAGAAAATTACAGTTGCCTTTATTTTCTTGGTTCATTTCTTCTTTATTTTCGTGCCGATTAACCTGTTGAAGCACCCACAAACACCCATTTATATCGAACACCTAGAAGAAAAACATTTAAAACAATTAATATTACCTATATTTTAAAGTTTTTCAATAAAGGGCATAAGATGAATTCTTTCTATGAAATGTTAAAACAATTAAACAATCATGTTACTTGAATGATAGGTAATGAATCTATGAACAAAACCTCAGAACCAGTTTGCAAAAGTAATCAATCGTAATAACAAAAGACATCATACAAACAAAACAAACATGGAAACTATGGCGCAAGAAGGGGAAAAAGAAAGGGTTTTTCATACTGCTGCTGGAAATTAAGAGGCCGACGAATCGCAGGCGAGGCGGCACCGACAGAGGCTGCCGAAGGCGTAGTGCAAAATAAGCTTCTTCCCCTCAGATCTTCCTTTCTTTATTCAGGGAAATTAGAAAACGGATCAAACTTTGCCATTCTTTGCAGGATCTGTACAAAATAATCAACAGACACAAATAGTATTATACCAGATGTACCCCTAGAGATCCCACATATGATTACAATAGCACAAAAAAGGTAAATGTACATTGTACAGCATCTTGCTTACCTAAACTAGCAGTTCTAAGAGGGTGACCATGAAGGTTAGTTGCTAGCACTGGAGCTGCCACCACTGATAAATCATCTATTGGTAACATCCCCTCCAAATTTTTGTAAACTTGTTCCTTTAAAGCTTCCACCATAGACTGCAAAACATACTACAAAAATTTATTTTATGCTAAAAAATGATTAGGGTTTTACTAGAAAGAGTTGAGGTATGAAATACAAACCTTTTGGGAATCAGTAAGCTCATTCATGGAGAGATGATTTTCGCCATCAAAGGTTGCACCCACAACCTCCATAACAGAATTGAACAAAATACCAATCCTATCTTTATTACTGTTGTATATGTACAGCTTCTCGTCTAAAACACATGCCTTTGCGTGCTTGATAATCTTCTTCCACTTGTCGCTATCCGGCCCACCAAGTAGCTTTATTATCCAAATTAAAATTATAATCATTCCAGACAAGTTCATAAAAACATATATGGAAAAAGAATTATGAAGTATCTCTTACCCGACAAAGCAAGGACTCAGTATTATACATTTGTAGAAAGTCTTTCACAGTATTTATTTTGTGTGATGACAATCGTTGATACAAATCCCCCCTTCTTGCTATGTTGTTCAAGCGCCAAGTGGCATCACTCAATGCTGGAGTATTATGCTTCATGTATACTGAATCAAAAAAAAAAAAAAAGGCATTAGCAAGAAATGTAAGGTATATTAAGTATCAAAGTCTCGTTTCCTAGCAAATGATGACAACATTAAAAGGAGACGGGTGGTTACTTCCATCCTCGACCTAAAAAGGCACATGTAGGAATGGAGGACATCAATCTTCGAAGTCCCAAAATCTGATAGGTGATTTGATGAAAACTTATAACAACATGTCCTTGTGTAAAACTAGTAATCTATAAGTCATTACTAGATTTTCTGACAGAAATTTACTGATTTATTACCCCATTACGGAATAAGTGTGACATCTGACCCTACATCCATACTAATAGAAGTTGTTGACTTGACTACCACAAAAATGTTTTATACCAGATTTTGTGGACTAAACTGAATCAAAAAGGGACAGGCACGAGGTTATTCAACTTGAACATATTGTAATAGTCTTAAAGGGGTGGTATAATCATATGAATTACTGTTCCCTTTGAGTCAAGAATATTGTATCATTATCAATAGAAAAGTTTTAGAACGTAAAGACGGTAGAAAAGATATATAAACATAAAATGGGGGCTTACATGTTTCTCGCTTGTCTTTTACCATGAATACTTGGCTTCTTGCTTCTCTAATTCTGACTCCAGGAGTTGCATTTTTGGTTTTTGCCCCTAACCTATACTCCCTGCTCTTACTCCAGCTTGAATAATGAGTAAAAACTACATTACCTAAAACAGCAACTCCATTTTTCAGCGTCACCACCAAATCCCCTCTCAGCAACGGACTTTTGCCATCTCTTGAATATATAATTTTGGCATCAAAATCACTCTCAGACCAATCTTCATGGTCATCAAAAGGAAAATCACCATCAAGAGGAACAAGAACTATCTTCTGTGAAGATAAGGGTCCAGATGACACAATCTGATTAGAAATTGCATCAAATAACACTACTTTTATACCACTCTTGTCCTCAGATTCTATCTTTTGTCCAGTAAAAAAGATGGGAAGCAGCCTAGTCTGGAAACGAAGCTGCAGGGATGTTGTACCATGCGATGCAAGTGCACCAGAAGGAGATCTATAAATGAAAAAAGAAATGCACAACTATTACAGATGCCAAATAAAAATAAACTGTTGCCCACACACACACAGACTGTAAAATTCATCTTATGCTAAAGCATGCATCAAAATCTTATAATAGAAATATATAGTATGAAAATGAGGAACAACCTTTGTGATTCACCATACATCGTTTGAAATGCAAGCTGCACCCCATCTTGCACCTATCAGAAAGAATTTTAAGTGTTCATAAAATTGAAGTTTCATATGATAAAGCAAATAATTAAGATGATTAGTTGTTTTTCATCTAGAGTAGAGGCAAGTGAAAGTTTGTTGACTTTCTGTCATTTTCTTTAAATAACCAAATGTGCCAGCACGTATGTAAGCAAAAATGAAGGGAGAGTAAGAAAACAAGAAAAACATATTGATCTCATAAGTCAAATTCATTTCCCAAAAGTACTAGTTTGAGAAGAAAATCTATTGCAAAGTGAAGTTTCGTGGCCATTTGTAAAAAAATGTTATTGATTGCATTATTTCATTCGTTATGTATGAGGATCCATCAGCTCATAAGTACATTAGCTTTATTTGAATGACAATAGCTCATAAAGGTAATGGCCAAAGAATTAAAGGCATTGGATGGAATAACTAACAGAAGAATAAAAGGATAGTCAGACTTCCTTAATGTCATGCATAGACCGACCATTTACAAGTTTAAGACTCAAAGTGAAGTTTGATGGGGTTTTTGGGCATTTATTTCAGAAGGAGAATAAAGGAGTTGAAGCTTTCATATATAGGCCGTGTTTGGGACCCGGGGAAAAGCCAGAAACGTATGTGATGAAATATTAAACTCATCACTTTATCTACCAACTTCATCATCAACAGATGCAGCTTGCTTTAGACACGAATTTGTTGTAAATATGTTTCGTTGATGGGAGAGAGTTAATTTCCAACAAGGAAAATTTAAATTCATTACTTTTGTAGACTAAATTTAATGATCAATTACCTTTATTGTAGGATTGAACTGCATAGGTCGACCTGTCTTGCTCCATCCTCGTACCTCTGTACCAATGTGCATGTGACAATTAATATGAACTTTCTTTATTTTCATAACAAATCTGACTATTAATAATGCCCAGAAGTAACTTGGACAAGAGGGAATTAATTATACCTGTACAGTCAATGGTATCACCAACTAAAATACTAAACCAGTCAGGAGTCAGTCTACCAGCCTCCATTAACTCAAACAAATCACTGCGACAAAGATAGTAAGCTCCTGTGCTTAGTTGAAATCCAGACAAACCTCCTCCAAGAGATTCTACCAATCCCATGTTATTTTCCAAGGTTTCCTCAGCTTCCTCATCATCAGTATAAACAAGGGTCACACCACATTCATGCACCTCCAATCCACTGATCACAGCGATGGAGACGTTGACTTTATCTCCAGTGGCCAATGCATTTCCAATTGGCCAATAGCTTAACCATATACCAACTTCACCAGATTCAGGTTTACCAAAGACTTTGGGGTTGTACATCAAACCAACACCATTGCTCGTACTGATCTTACAGAACCATAACCCATCATCATCCTCACCTGATATTGTTTTATATTTAAAAGTTACATCAAGTCCTTTGAGCCTCCTATTTTTGGGAGGCGGAGGCACGTCAAAGGACAAAGATGATAACTCTGATACATAAGTAGGCTTCATGTTTGGATCCTCCATGTCTGGCAGAGATGTGCTCATTATGTTGAATTCATACAACATCTGTGTCATGCAAATGCACAGGAAATCAGTCACATATAATATAATCAGTTTGTAGGTGGTACTTTATTGATGTGCGTGTGGTGTGCTCATGCATGTGTTTGAGAGAAAAACATATACCTGGACACATGAACTTCTGCCTTTGGTGAGCTCATCATCACCAACCAGGCTCACCTCATGATTTTCATATTCTTTTAGCCACTTCATATGTCCCAAATCGTTTTCTTCAAGTCTGCCTACAGGCTCCAATTTGACATGGGTTTCTAATTGATCTTCTTCCACCAAATCAATCTCCACATTAGTGTACTTCCGCCATTTGTAAGCTATTTCTTCATTACATACGACACGTACATGAGACAGGTCCTCCACAGATTCCGGCAGCTCATGTACTCCGCTACAACCTTTCATATAAATCTTCCTTAAACCCCTCAATTTCCCCATTTTTTCCGGCAACCCACTCAAGCTCAAACAATCTGAAATGTCAAGAACACTCAACTTTTCAAGTCTCCATATTGATTCAGGCAACTTTTCCAGTTCCGTACAAGAACGAAGACTAAGTATTTCCAAATTAGTCAAATTCCCAAAATTTTCAGAAAATCCACACATCTCATTACAATTTGTGATGCTAATATTCTTAAGGTGGATAAGGTTACATAATGCCCCTGTGAATTCGACTAAATCCTGGCAATAATCGATCTCGATCTCAAATAACTGTGGCCAGATATTGGGGATGAGTTTCTCAAAAGTATTGCTGATTTTGCACATTATGAATGATACTCTCTGCAGGTTTTCCAGTGATAAAATAGATGGATGTATCATCACACGTTCAAATCTAATCCTTGTTAGATTGCGTGCAGATCCTAGAAGGTGGAAATTCTCAAATTCTGTAGGGTGTAAACTGTGGCTTGTAATGCTTAGAATCTTTAATTTTGGCAATCCCGCTAAGAAATGGGGTAAAGTGTATGTTTTTGACATTAAGTTCAAGATTAGAACTTCAAGGTCAGGGACATTTATATCGCACCATTGCGACAAGAACAACTTTCCTGCAATAAAGATTGTAATCGATCAATAGAAAAGATAATACACCAATAAATGCAATAAATATTAATAAACTTTTCATTTCTCTATTCTTAGATTAATATTATTTTGGGAAGGACTAAATGCAATAAATACAAACACATTTTTTATTTTATGTTTTTATTAAAGCATTTTAATATCATTTCTTTCTATTCCAGCATTGTATTTGATATCTATTCCAATTATAGTAATGACAGCCAAAATACAAAGCATTTTTAATTTCGCTGCTATAACTGGGCAGATTTTTCGAAGTACAATGTGCTAATAGAAAACTTTTTGAAAGTACAATGCTATAATTGGTAGACCTTTCAAAGTATGATACCCGAACAAGAAAAAAAACAAAAGCACCGTGACATAATAGAAAGAAATGAAAGTAGGATGCGATAACAAGCAAATAAAATAAAAACATTTCTTGCATTTAGCTTTTTGGGAACAAATATATACTAAACAAAAAAAAAATTATGTGTTCTATTTGTAAAGTTAAAAGGTCAAAACGTAACCACCACGTTTTTTAAACAAAGGGGGTACGATCCATCCAATATCATGAATGAATCTGCAAGAAGGTTATTCTTCCTGCAGCACAACACTGAGCTGGCCCACAGTGCCCCACGAGCATCATGTGAGGTGTAAATCAGTTACACAATGGCCCACTAGATGGATTGCATAAAGCTCATTGCCTGGAAGGAGCCAAATCCACATTGGAATTAATTGTGGCTAACCCTCACAGGTTTCTGCAAAGATATCATTCGGGGAACCATTTATGCCATGCCATGGGGGCTTAAATTTGTGAGAATAAAAACCTGTGGAAATAGACAATATGCGGGCTTGCATAGGTTCTTGGACTTTTTCAATTGATGAGGGCAGGTCTTCTCCTTGTGCATTTATAATCAATCTACTCCTTTGTTCTAAGGACAATCTGCTATTCAAATGAACAGCAAGCTCCCGCAACAAACCATGTTGTGTGACCAAGTGTTGGTCGCAATAGTTAACTCTTGCGATTGAATCATTCCAAAACCTAAAATATTCAAGGATAAGTCTATAACAATTAAATTAGATACGTAATTATCAAATTAAAATACCTAAAGCAAAAAAAATATTGGAAAAGCTTATTTGATTAGGCTTGTGTAGTAAAAATTGAGGAAAAAGTTACAGAGTGAAAAGGCTACCGGAATGGTTGAAAAGCTTTCTCTAAAAAAAAATTTATGACCATAAAGCAAATATAAAAGCTCGCACTGTACTTGCTCTTAGACTATCTTCATTTTTTCCTCCAAAAATAGAGTAAAAAATAGGGTAAATAGTGTTTCGTTTCCAACCCTACTCCATTCTATACCCCATTTTTTACCCTAAAAAGTATATTTCTAGTATATTCCCTTTTTGTAACACACACACACACACACACACATATATATATATATATATATATATATATATATATATATATATATATATATTGTCAAACACACCCCTTCTATTCATTAGATTTTAACAAATATATATTCTATCTTTTTTCATTACAATAATATTATCAATTATGTTATCATAAAATTAAAACAAAATAAAATATTAATATATAATGAATTTGAACTAATTATTAATTTATTAAGAATAATTTTTAAATAAATAAGAGTATATTTATAACACACTTATAGATAAATATTATACATACATCTTTTAGAAATATTACAAATATATTTGTAAACACTACTAATGTATTTCGTAGACCGGACCCGAAAAAAAAAACAAAACAAAACAAAACTGGCCCTAGATCAAACCAGAAGTACCTATAATCGGGCCGGATCCCGGTTCCAATGCTTTTCAATTTGTAGTTTTCGGATAAGAACCAGACCGGACCCAAAAAACGTTAGTAATATCGGACCGGACCGGTATATATGAAAAGGACTTATTTTTTTAATCGACATTAACTATATATGAAAAAGTCTTTTTAAATTATAACCTTTTATAAAAGATGTTACCGTGTTACAAATTTTTAATATGCATTAAATTTTTTATATGAATTCAATACATAAATATTAAGCTTTACATTTATGATTAATTAATATAATTTAATATATAACAGGATATTATATTCCCTCCGTTCCAAAATAATTGTCTACACACAGATTAAGGAAACATTAATTACCATTAACTTTATTCAATAAAATAACAGTTTTGTCCTTACTTTGCATTTAATGTTCCATTAAATGCTTATTTGGTTAAGTAATAATGAGGGGGTATTTTGGTAAAAATGTTATTTATTTTTAGAAGTGGACTATTATTTTGGGACAAACCAAAAAAAAGAGATGGATAATAATTTTGGGACGGAGGAGTATTAAATATTACATTTAAATTATAATTAATAGATAAAAATAAACTACAAATGTATAAAATAAAAAAGAAAGGGACTAAAACTGACAATTGAAACATCACCTCCATTTTTTGAAGAAATGAATAGAGGAACACTATTCATATCTCAAAAACTGGAGATGGAAATGGGGTAGGGTACGAGAAGAATCGAGGGAAAAATGGGATTTGGGGGTGAGTTGGAGACGCTCTTAGAAGATTCCCAGATGACTTAAAGGGTGAAAAGTAACACAAATAGAGTAGGTCAAATGCGTACCTTGTGGTCATAAAATCGACAAGGTTTTCGTAAGAAAGTTGATTGACCTTGGCGAGGGTATCAATGCCACCAGCATCATGGTTGTACAAATGCACCCACACATCTAAGAGGGTGCTAACCGGGATCCTTTGATCCTCAGGGAATAGCCCCAAATCCAAGAAACATTGCTTTAAGTCATCATCTAGAGCCTCAAAGCTTCTTTCCAGATCGACAAGTACATCCTTGTGTAAATCTAGAACCGACCTACCTTCAGACAATGACTTTAGCATAAATTTCCAGATAGACTTATCCTCCCTTTTTAAGGATTGGCCAACCGCAAAAAGGGTGAATGGATGTCTCTTACAACATTTTACCATCTGCATGCAAGGGATACAAAAAAGTTACATGTTGTTTCCTTTTTACTTAATAAGACTTAATAAATATGGTACTTATAATAATATTGTGTTTCTTTTTTACTTGATGCAGAAAGAACCAATTAATGGATATAGTCTGGAATTGAAACTTGTATTTATTTTAAGAATAGAACACATGATTACCTGATCCACAAGGTTCTTATCAATAATTTGACTAGGTATCCGCCCGCCTTTATCAAATGCTGATTGGCAAAAGAGAGTTTTTGCATCTTTCTCGTTCAAAGGGTCAAATCGAAACACATCATAATTCGTAAAGGCGGTCCTAGATGTAACCAGAATCATGCATTCTCTGTTCTTTGATGGAAAGTTATCAATAAACGACTCAGACCACACATCATCTAATACTAGAAGCATGGGACCTGATATTTTCTGATTTAAAAAGTTCTCCAGTTCACTCTTTGCATCTTCATTGCTTTGAAACAGAACTTGCAGGGATGAGGAATTTGGATTAAAGAGATCATTGACAATCACCATATAACTGGGTGTGTCTGAAACCGTCACAAAGAAGATATCCTCCCCAAATTTTTCTGTCCAAATTGTAAGAGACAATAGCATCAAGCAAGTGAAACTGACTAATACTTTTTCTACATTTAATATATATATATATATATATATATGATTCACAAATGTGATGGATTACCACGAATTTCGGGATCATGGCATAGCATTTTCACCAAGGTAGTTTTCCCACATCCACCAGCAGCGGAAACAACCAGCACTGATCGACCACCACTATCCATCGAACTTCCATCATTATCATCATCATAATAATAATAATCAATTCCTGAAAAAACCTCACCCTTCAGCTTGGTCAATGGCTCGTCAAACGCCACAATTCCATCTGGAAGTGCAGGAACTCGCCAACCATACTTTTCTCGTTTTAAGATTTCATGTCGCGATTGTTCTGTTCTCAAAAACATCAACCTTGAACTACTATAATCACTGGTCCAACTTGTTCTCGTAGACATCGACAATGAATCACTGTAATCACCGATCCAACTTGTCATCGTAGACATTGACAATGAATCACTATAATCATCGTTCACCCCTAAAAACATCTCCGTAATGCCCCGACTCCGGATTGCTTGAACTTCGCTTTGAAAGAATCTTTGCAAATTAGCGTTCACATCTTTTAGCTTTTGTGAGTAACTGGACTTCTTGATAACATTCTTTTTTACTTGCGGATATTTTTCAAAAACTTTATTGGCTTCTTGGATGTACTTTATGAACATCTTTGCTTCTTGGATGTCATATAAGAACATCTTGCACTCCGCCTCTGTATGATCTAGTTTTCCATAGACCTTCACAATCTCATAACAGATCGGTGTTATTATCTGTAAGGTGTCAATCAGTAGCTCCAGTTCAGCCTTGAAATCGGTTGTGCTTTGTGCAACAGACATTACCATTTCAGATAGTTTGGAGAGGGTTACATATAGGAGCATAAGCATCTCTTGTGGCTTATTCTGAAATCAGTATAAAACATGCAGAAGAAGATTACATAGATGGATTTAGTTTTATATATATATATATATATATATATATATATATGTGTGTGTGTGTGTGTGTGTGTATGTGTATACATGTGCATATGCATATGTATATGTATACACAGTCTACATAAGATATTAAAGGAGTCTGACTATCCGGTTTGCTTCTGCTAGTTATTCCATCCGATGCCTAGAATGTTATGGCCATCAGATTTTATGAGCTATTATCATTTAAACAGAGCTAGGGTCCTTGTGAGATGACAGAACGTCATACATAACAAACCCAAAGAAAAATAAAGCAATAAATAATATTTTTTACAGAATACGGATAAACTTCCACTTTGAAATAGATTTTTATCTCAAACTACAAGAACTCTTGGGAAAAGAAATAGACTTACAGGATCTGTATATTTTTTCTCATTTTTATACTTCTCTCCTCATTTTGCTTAGAGTCGGTACAATTGGATTTTTAAAGAAAATGACTGAGAGTCAGCGAACGTTCACTTTTCATGTAGTTCCCATTAACTTGATTGAATTGTTCTTAATGGCCCATGTGTTGAGCAATCAAATTAAGAAAAAAAAAACTATGTGAAAAGTGAAAGTTCGCAGACTCTTTAGTCATGTGAAAAGGGTATGGTTCTTTAAAGAACCAAATGTACTAGCATGCATGTAAGCAAAATGGAGGGAGATGTAAGAAAATGAGAAAAACATATTGATCTCATAAGTCAAATTCATTTCCCAAAAAGTTCTAGTTTGAGAAGAAATCTATTACAACTTTAAGACAAAAGCCAGATTCAAAGTGAAGTTCCATGGTTTTTTTGGGCATTTAATTCAGAAGGAGAATAAAAGGGTTAAGGTTGTGTTTAGTTACGGAAAAACAATTTTCATTTCCCATTTTCTGTTTTCAGTTTTCAGTTTTCATTAAAAAATTTAGAAAACGCGTTTAGTTAATACTTATTCCTTTTTCATTTTTGGTTTCAAAAAATTAGAATATGTGTTTAGATGTGTATTTTTCTATCGGTTTTCATTTTTAGAAAACGGTAGTGGTGGTATGGTGGGGGTGGGCGGGGTGGGTGGAGTGGAGTGGTGGTGGATGTGGTAGTGGCAGCGGGGTGGAGGCGGTGGTGGCGATGATGGATACAGTTGTGATGGTGGTGGGGTGGTGCTAGTGGTGGCGGCGGTGTGGCTGTGGTGACAGGGTGGTGATGGCAGTGATGGGGTGGTGGTGGATGTGATGGTAGGTCAGAATTTACGGTAGTGGTGGTGTGTGATGTGTGTGTTTTTGTGGGGGTAGTAGTGGTAGTGTGTGTGTGTGTTTATGGGGATGGGGGTGGTTGTGTGTGTGTTTAGGGGGGTGGGTGTGTGTGTGTGTGTGTATTTGTGGGGGTGTTAGGGTGGGGGTATGTAGAGGTGGGTGGGGTTGGGGTGGGTGGGCGTGTGTTTATATTTTGGAAAATTTTTGGAATTAGAAAAATGTGGAAAACAATGATTAGCGGTTTTCCAAAATTTTCTAAGTTCTTTGTAAATTTGGAAAACGGAAAATGAAAAATTTTAGAAAAATTGTTGAACTAAACTTGTTTTCAAAATTTTCTTTCTTGGAAAAATTTTCAGCCCCATTTTTTTGTAAGTAAACACACCCTAAAGCTTTTCCTAAACTCATCACTTTATCTACCAAGTTCATTGTCAACAAATGCAGCTTGCTTCAGACATGTACTTGTTGTAAATATGTGTGTTACTGGGAGTGAGTTAATTTCCAGCACAAGGAAAGAAATAAGCTCTTTTTCTTTTATATGCTAAATGTAATACTCAGTTACCTTTATTTTTGTTTCACTTTCACTAAATTTAGACGATGTGGAAGATATGATGGTCTCCCCAAGCAGGCTTGATGTGAAGTCCAATGTTTTATCTACAAAAGATGATTTTGACATCTCTGCAATCTTGTAAATGTCCTCCTATTTATTTTTCATAAACACCAGGGCCAGATTAGCAAAACCCAATCATTACACAACATAGCAAACACACATTGCTATCTAATCAAACTTAACAGAATCATATGTATAATGCAAAGGAAATAGGGATTTGAGATGTATATCAAATCTATTTGAATTATAGATATATTATGATAAAACCAAGTCACAAAGGTCCAATTCATCTTATACCAACTGCATAGGCAGAGTAGAAGATATGTAGGCCCTCCATATTATTCATGTAACGAGTTAATGATCCCCCTCCCCACCCAAAAAAAAAAATAAGAGGAAATGTACCGATTCAGGACCATGGACGATGCATCTAACAAACTTTAACTCAGTAAATGATGGTTTCAACTGTGTAGGTCGACCTGTCTTTCTCCATCCTCGTACCTCTGTATCAATATAAACTTTCTTTATTTTCATAATAAATCTGACTACAAATTAAATGCCCAGAATTAGCGTTGAAAAGAGCGGACATACCTGTACAGTCAATGGTATCACCAACTAAAATACTAAACCAGTCAGGAGTCAGTCTACCAGCCTCCATTAACTCAAACAAATCACTGCGACAAAGATAGTAAGCTCCTGTGCTTAGTTGAAATCCAGACAAACCTCCTCCAAGAGATTCTACCAATCCCATGTTATTTTCCAAGGTTTCCTCAGCTTCCTCATCATCAGTATAAACAAGGGTCACACCACATTCATGCACCTCCAATCCACTGATCACAGCGATGGAGACGTTGACTTTATCTCCAGTGGCCAATGCATTTCCAATTGGCCAATAGCTTAACCATATACCAACTTCACCAGATTCAGGTTTACCAAAGACTTTGGGGTTGTACATCAAACCAACACCATTGCTCGTACTGATCTTACAGAACCATAACCCATCATCATCCTCACCTGATATTGTTTTATATTTAAAAGTTACATCAAGTCCTTTGAGCCTCCTATTTTTGGGAGGCGGAGGCACGTCAAAGGACAAAGATGATAACTCTGATACATAAGTAGGCTTCATGTTTGGATCCTCCATGTCTGGCAGAGATGTGCTCATTATGTTGAATTCATACAACATCTGTGTCATGCAAATGCACAGGAAATCAGTCACATATAATATAATCAGTTTGTAGGTGTGCTCATGCATGAGTTTAAGAGAGAAACAACATACCTGCACACACGAACTTCTGTCTTTGGTGAGCTCATCATCACCAGCCAGGCACACCTCATGATTTTGATATTTTTTTAGCCACTTCATATGTCCCAAATCGTTTTCTTCAAGTTTGGCTACAGGCACCAATTTGATAAAGTCTTCAATTTCTAATAAACTAATACATCCTTCATAACCAAACTCTTGCAATGTGAATCGATGTGATTGGAAACTAATTTCCTCCAGCGACTTACAATAGTATACATACAATTCTGCAAGTGTACTTGGGAGACAAAGAAGCTGTTTAAGCATTGAGCATAAACTCAAGTCAAGGACCCGAAGATTTTTAAGATGGTCGTAACACGGCAGAAACTCAAATAGACTATTGCCTAAATTCATGTACTGCAAAGATAGTTGAACACTAAAACTCAGAGGAAACGAATCAGTACACTCAAGATCACAATCCTTGAGGAATAACCGGTGTAATGAAGGTGGGAAGAAAAAGGTAGGCTGTTCTGCAACTCCTCCACCAGAGGTAGAAGCTTCTGTTTGCTCACTCTTGCACAGGTTTCTACATCCTGTCATGTTCAGTAGTGCAAGACTTGTCAGGCCTCCAATTGTTTCACAAACACGAGCCAGACTGTGACAGTTCCAAAGAATCAAAGTCTCTAGATGAGGGATCATGGACATGTTGCGGACTTCACGTAGGTTGTGCGAGTCTGTAAGATTCAGAATCTGCAGTGACGGAAGAACCTGTTGCAAAAGTAATAAGATTAATTAATGTAGCACTCCTTGTCTTCATAAAGCAGAATTACCAAGAAGCTAAACGGATATGCAATAAATAAATAAATAAATAAATAAATAAGAGGATATCAGAATCAGACTCCCTACCATGGGGGGTTCAAATACTTCCAATTTACTGTAGCTCATATCTATAGCCACCAAGTTTCCCATGAATAAGTCAGAGGGTATGGTTCTTAAATCGGATCCAAGCCAGCAAAGCCATCTCAACTCATCTGAAAGATTATCGTAGGACCCAGTGAGCTGCACAAAGTTTAGTTGGAGCAATTTCAGTCTATCCATCTTTTGAAGTGCATCTGTCTTGAGGTTTGATGACTGCAGATTTAGCAAACTATCAGATCCAGAAATAAATGTGTGTGTGTGTGTTTAAATATAGCACACACACACACACATCAGTTCTTAGTGATTCTGTATTACCTTGAAAGCAAAATTCTGTTCTTCTAGTATTTTCATGTCAAGTGCTAAACCTTCCATAGTTTCTGAACCCTAAAAGGAAAAAAAAAATAAAATAAAAGGGTGTGACAGGTAAAAGTAAGCTTTATTAAATATACATATAAGAAGCATATTACCTTTCCCTTGATCAATATCTTATAAGAGTCACTACTAAGCCAGACTCTGCTACGTTGTTCAGGGAATTTTGATTCTTGACGAACTATGTTTTTCCCCATCTCTTGAAGCAACCGATGCATCATGAGTTTGTTGTTTGGTGAAACAGAAAGAAGGCATCTGTTGGATAGGCTTGTGATCCCAGATGCTGCATCGTAATCATGCTGCAATATCTTTACCACATAATCCTTGTCTTTGCCAACAAAGAAACAAGCAATATGCAGAAACAACTCCTTTTCTAAGACAAGCGATAATGACTTGTAGCTCATTATAAGTACATTGTGAATTCTAGAATGAATATCTTTTTCCAGTGTATTCAATTGACTTTTCCAATGTAAGATGGTATTTTTTTGGGACAGAGCAGAAGCCAACACTTCAAGAGCCAGCGGATTCCCTTCACAATATTGTACCGCTTGTTCTGCAACCTCCTTGAAACCTTCCATGGGAACTTTTGAACCAAAAGCATGACGACTTAAAAGCTCTAACGATTCTTCAGGTTTCAATAATTTCATTTCATAATCTTGACACCTCCGGTCCGTGAACTTAAACCAATCATCTGTATTTTCTCTGGTTGTTGTTATTATAATCTTGGTTAGTGGATTAATCTTCCCAGTTCCAAGTAAAGCAACTAACTGACTACGTTCAACAATGTCATCAAGAACAATAAGCGACCTTTTTGTCTGTAAGGCCTCCTCAATCTTACATGTACCTTCCGAAACACTAGGTATTTTTCTCTTCTTGCCACCTAAAATACCTTTGAGAAGTTGTTCTTGTAGCACACGCATACCATCAGGCTGTTCACATTTTTCTCTAATGCCTTCAAGAAAACTCATGTTTTCATAAGTTTTCCAATTTGAATTGTAGATGTATTTGGCCAGTGTTGTCTTGCCACTTCCACCCATCCCGCAAATTGCTAAAAATTCAACATCCTGTTGATTTAACCACACACCGATATCTTCGTATCGAGTAGCCATCCCAGTTATATTTTGTGGAAGACTAACTTCTTTGCGTTCCAGTTTATTGTAAATGATGTCAACAATTTCCTTCACAAACTTTGCTTCAGACCTGGAACAACATGAGAAAAATGAACAAATTCATGGGAAGGAAGTTACAGAGTCTTTGATATAATTAAATGAAAATATTGAATAATCAATTTTTCAAATTAACGTGTTACTAGTATATCGGTATATGTTTAAATTTGATTACCGATTTACCATTGAAGTTAATTTCCCAAAAATTATAAAAGTTCAATTTTTAATGGATCACAGCATTTCCAAGTGGAGAGAAGCTTTTCCAATTTATTTGCAAATACATTATTAAAATACCAATAAAACAAATAATGGAGGCCCACAATTCTGTTCAAAGGCACGATATTTTTATTTTTATCTTAATTATCTAAGATTCAAACATGTATGCGATGTACCAACAAGCATTAAGCTGTAGATTTATTGACATAAAAAGAGGAAATATCACCGTATTTTATACTTTATAGTCTATCCCATTAGATATTTGAAATACATATAAAATTAAAAATTAAAAAAAAAATGTAGCCATCAAACACTTTTTCACCCACTTTTCCGAACTACTCTGTAAACAAAGATCTGTTACCGATTCATAGGTTAAAGTATTGATACATTTATCAGCTAAAAGCTCTGAGTTCTTTTAAAAAGGAAGAGACAAAGAGGCATACCCAGACAAAACCATGCCTGCTAAATCAGGAACCTCTTTAAGAGCTTTTTTCCACAGGCTCACGTTTTCATCTGTCCACCTCTTTGAAGAGGCTTTGACTTCTATAGCAAAAGTTCCCGTTTGTTTCCTCACATCAGAAGGATCGACATAATAAAAAACAGGTAGAACGAAATGATTGCACTCCCTCCTTTGCTGGAGGATCAACGCAAGCTCATTCAGACACCAAGTTGAAGTTGCATACTTCTCTGAGAATACAACTACTGAAGCCCTAGATCCTTTAATTGCTCTCTCGATCTCCGGCTGCAGTTCTTCACCTCTCCTGATTTCTTCATTATCCCTAAAAGTAACAATTCCTGCTCGGATTAATGCGTCATAAAGATGATCCGTAAAAGCATTACGAGTATCTTCGCCTCTAAAGCTTAAAAAAACGTTATAAGCACCGGGAGAAGCCATAATACTGGATGAAGAACCGAAAGAAATTGAACTTTTGAAATGGATTTGAAAGGATAGGAAGATGAAGTCAACTCAAATTTCTAGCACAGGATTCCAGCTGAATATATATTGTATTTAAAGAACATAAAGTTGCTATACAAGACAACTTAAATTCTAGAGTAATGACATAATGATCCCTATGTTTATACATAAATAACGGATTGGGTCCCTAATAGTTTTTATTGTCAATTTCATCCCTACGGTTTAGGTCCCTAATAGTTTTTATTGTCAATTTCATCCCTACGGTTTAGGTTCGTTTTGAACCACGTCTCCATTATTTATATTGTTTATTTTCTCATATTAAATAAGTTGTTAAATAAATGTAAAATTACTATTTTACTTTTATATTATGTATCCTTACTTTTACTTTTATATATTTAATATTAACTTATTATTTTCTTGTTATTGATTTTTTTTAATGATTGAATAATCTTTTGCCCTTCCATCTCCTCGTCCTTCTCATCTCTTTTAAAATCTCCATATCAATTAAGGTAAGCAAAATTGAAACCAAATAACCAACAAAATCTAAAACCAAATAATCGAACCCAAACTCAAACCATCGGTTTTAGGTTTGGATTTTTTAAAACCAAAAAATTTGGTTTGGATTCGGTTTGTACTTTGCGAACCAACCCAAAATGTAAAACTAAACAGAAACCGACTCATTGAACTGAAACCAGCCTAACATGTGTATATTTTAAAACTTAAAATAAATATGTATTGTCTTTATGCAACTTAGGTTTGGGCATATGGCTTAAGACTATGTTTCCTTCTTAATTTTTCATCTGTGTCTTTTTCTCATTGTCGACTCCACACATCCCCTACAAGTCTATTTCATTTTCTATAGAATTGCTGGAAAATGGATTCAAACCTAGAACCCAATAACCCATTAGTTAAAACCAGAATACCAAAAAAACCGACCCCGAAGACCAAAAATTGAACCTATTCCAAAACCAAACCTGATGGTTTTCAAATTTTGAAAATCAAACTTTTTGTTTGGATTTGTTCGCCCTAATATCAACATCCTAAAAACCTAACTCCATTTGCTAATGTTATAACCTTATATAAAATTGAAATTGATACCATGAACCTTCAACTTGATTACATATGTCAAACATCAACCATTTTAAAACCAACAAATCAATATGGTAATTTATGAAACCTTCAAATCGATTCTGTTATCCATAGCCATGAAAATCTATGCTAAACACAAGGATTCTCTACATCACCCTCCCTAAAAATTGATAAAGACCATCACAAACACAAAACTTCTTAATCTTTATAAAAGTTTAAAACAAAGCATCTGATTTTTAAAACACTACAATCGTTAGAGACTTACACCCTCACTCCTTCAATCTAGAACCCAAACACAAGCACGTTATGGTCACCATCTATCTACATTGTGTTCATCATAGAGGTTGGTATGAAATCTGGAAACCAAAACACAAAAAAAATTGAAAACTCGTCTTCTTTGTGTTAGGATTGGAAAACTATTCAACACAGCAAACATAATTAAAATTAGAGGAGTAACTCTCACACTCAACTATTACAAGAGAGAGAGAGAGAGAGAGAGAGAGAATCGCAACATCCTAAAAATTAATTGTAACAACCCAAATTTTCCAATAAAATTTTTCATTTTTAATTAACAAAAGTGTTTTCAATTGTAACACCTCATATTTTTTTTTCAAAAAAAATTCGTTGTTATGGTTTAACCCAAAGGCAAGTTTTTACAAAAGAAAAAAAGCATTTAACAAATCATCAGAGTTTAAACCTAGTTTCAAAACAATCTCTTGGGTGTTACTAACATTGTATCAAATAAACCATAACAAGCAAACCAAGAAGTACAAGATCAAAGTCAAGCGTAACTTATGCTCCACTAAGTCTCCCATGGACTTCATTACTTCTAGATCACTTCACACCTTTAGCTATCACCTAAGATATATGGCATTTAAAAAAAATATGTAAGACAAAATGTCTCGTGAGTCACGTGGGTTTTAGACCCTAAAACATTTCAAGTATTTTCAAAGAAATTCATTTCTTACATAACATAAATTATCATTTCATATCATAACATTTATTTCCTTTCTCATTCCCAAGTCCAAGGTGGAAAGAACAAATCAATCCACCAAGGTATCATAATAGGACATCTACTTCGCGACGGGGAGGTACCACCCCAGTAGATTCCTCTAGTGCCTCTTATGAAGTATCATGGTCCGGACGGTTTTCATTGCATCATTACATTCTTTTTTTTCTATTAACATAAAATCATTGAAACATATTCAAAAGACACACTTTCATTTTCAAAACATTTTTCCATAAGATAGTTTAACATTTAGCCATGCACCCCAAAGTGAGGAAAAAGTCCACACGTACTCACCTCAATCACACGTAGGTTAGCTAATGTTCTTCTAGTTCCTTTCCTAGATCAATCCTCTTCAAACACTACCTACACCATATATGGAAATAAGTCATTAAAATGACCAAAATACCCCTCATAGCTTCCATTACTTAATTTTTTGTTTCAAATCATTCCTCATGAAAAAATATGAATGTAGGCGAAAACCGTGCGTAAATCCAAGTCGGTATGCAAAAGTTATGAAGAAAACAAGAAAATCTCCAAGTCAGGGGGCTACACGTGTAACGCCCCGATTCTCAGGTATTAAATTAATATAAGAATTTTCTTGTTTTCAAGGTCTACTCGACGAGTTGGTTGCCTTACTCGTCGAGTAGCAGCGGGTTGGTCCGCGTGTTTTAGTGACCTACTCGCCGAGTCCAATAAGGGACTCGACGAGTAGAAGCTGGCAAATGAAACCCTAAATTTCGGGGTTTTGCACCCTATTTAAGGATCACTTACCCCCCCCCCCCCAGCCTCTCTTACTGCTCCCCTCGAATTCAGAAACCCTAATTCGTGTCGTTCTCTATTTTGGTGTGCTTCTTAGCTTGGAAGAGGGATTTTCGTGAGGAAAGGTTTGAAGACCAAGAAGCTTTGAACACGGAACAGCTGGGGATCTGAAGTCTACCTCAGTTTATCACCATTTGGAGGTATCAAGTCATCACCTAGAGCTACTTCTAGTTAAACCCCCCTTTCTATTTTGAGTTTTGGGACCATTTTGGGCATTTGGTGTTGCATTTCGAGTGATGAACCAAGACCTGAAGTTGCAACTTCAGATCTAGGCTCATATTGGCCTTTATCATCATAAAGTATCAGTCTTTAGCATGTTGGTGACGCTCTTTTGCCTAGAACCTCTTCTTTAGCTTGTTTTGGGTCATTATCACCTTGCATGCACGTAAAGTTTGCAACTTTACGTGATAAACATGCCTTGGGAAGCTGGATCTACAATATGGAGCCTTAGCATGGCTTAAAAAGCATCTGTATGGATGAAGGATTGAAGGGACTCGGCGAGTCGCAAGGTCGACTTGGCGAGTCATATGAAGATGGTTATGAACTCGACGAGTTGATGAATAACTCGGCGAGTCCGATGAAGATTGCCTTGGGCTCGGCGAGTCAGTCGAATTACTCGGCGAGTCGGCTAGGGTTTTCCCAACCTTTGGACACGCATGAACTCGGCAAGTTATAGGGAAACTCGATGAGTCAACCAAGGATTTCATGACTTCTCGAGTTCAGGAAGAACTCGACGAGTCGGTGAACTGCACTCGACGATTCGGGTCAACATGGACTATTGACCTTGACTGTTGACTTTGACTTTGACCAAGGGTTGACCAGTTGACCTTTGGGGGTATTTTGGTAATTTGGAAATTTATGGAAAAGGGGTTTTATGGTGACTATAGGTGGTGGAGTTCGTGTTGGTGATTCGAGCATTTGAGCCTATCACTTCAATGCGACATTGTGAGGTGAGTTCTCCTCACTATATCAACAGGGTCTACGGCACCAAGGCCGACCCTTTATGATTTACATCCTGGTTTAGGATGGTTCCTATGTTAGATTACATCCTGGTTTAGGATGGTTGCTATGCTAGTAGTCTGTTAGATTGATATCTTGGTTGTATGATGGTTGCTATGTTAGAGATCGGTTAGATCTGGATGACTATCTGTTATTGCATGCTAGCGTATGATTTTTATGTGCACATGTTATTGTTTGGGGAAAGGGTTGAGGCAGGTCCTACTGTGTGCAGTAGGCCAAGACACCCTGGCCGGACCGGGTAGACTGCAGGCCCGGGCCGGGCAAATCTAGTCAGGCCGAAGGCCCAGTGAGCGGTCCGGATAGGCTGAAGGCCCCGAGGAGGGCGGTCCAGACGTGTTGTGGGCTCGGAGAGCGGTCCAGATAGACTGAGGACCGGGAGTCGGTCCAGTCAGACTGATGGCTCATTATGCATGTTGTATCTGTTTGCTTGTATGATTATATGATATGGTTATATCTGTATGGCGTTGGTATTTTGGGGGTAACTCACTAAGCCTTCGAGCTTACACCTATCGATATTTGTTTCAGGTACTTCTGATGATCGCGGGAAGGCGAAGGCGTGATCGTACCATTCCTCACATTTTATGATTTTATGATTTTATGATCTGATTTTGGAATACTCTGACAATATACTATTTTGAAAACAAGTTTTGTAATAATCATGTGTTTTGAAATGTTTTTTTTTAAAAAAGGGTTTTAATTTGGCATGATTTTTATTGGTGTTACAAGTTGGTATCAGAGCCTTGGTTTGAGTGAATTGGAGGAAACACTCATGTGTCTCCAGTCTCAAACTGAGGACAAGGTTATAAAATGATTTTCTTAAAATGTTTTCAAAATAATAAGAGGAGGATGCAGGTGTACGATCAGCCGGAGCTCGCGGATAGACCCCAAAATACCTTAAGGATTATTTGATTTTGATGTTTGTGTATTTACAACAGCATGCTAGTACTAGGCTAGGGATCTTCAGGAAAGGAATGATGATAGAATGCCTGATTGTATGATGCTGATAAACCTAGGGTTCTCCCTTATATGAAATTGACATCATTATATAGTTTGCTTAGTGTATGCATCGCGATGTAATAATAAGATCTTATAGCCTGAGAATGTTTGGTTTGGCCTTATTTCCTGTTCTTG